CTTGGCCTTGAATTTTCCGACTCGAATTGCTACGAATTTTCCTCGGAATATATTACATTAGGTGCCTCTGGGAACTCGTCGGAGTCCGATAATTTTTTTAACAGTGCACAACCAATTAGCAATGCGCAGTTTTCCGCTAGTTTGATTCGCTCGGGCGAGTTGTCAAACAGGTGATCGAGTAATGAAGGTGGATAATTTTTATTACCTGTTTCGATTGGAACTCGAGTGGTTTACGCTATGTTTTCGGGAGCCGGAGAGCTCGCACACTCACTTCGCGATAAAATTCTCGTTACCCGACGAAAGTTGATCAGCAAGTCAACAGATCGCTGTTCAAAGCTATAATGTCCTCCATCTGATTCTTGGGCACGTTTTTTTCCTGCTAACTTTCCCCGATTTTTTCAGGTTTTTCATTCTTAAAGTTATGCACTAAGATCACTCGCAATAGAACACTAGACCGCCGTGCTAAGGAAAAACGCCGTATGAACCTCCAGGCGTCGCCAAATTTCCTTTGATACGACACAAATTTCCTGGTAAACTTATGAATATTTGCTTCCCGATTTCTCAGACACTTTTGCTTGCAATTTCACCTAAAGTTCTTGGAAATCTCAAGGAAACATATGCATAACTTTCCTCAAAAATGAACATTTTATCGAAGGAAATTTGGCAGCTCTCGAATGTTCATAGGGCGTTCTTCCTTAGCACGACAGTAGAGCACTAGATGCAGTGATGACTTAAGAGGTTAATCGATTTATCGAGGAAAGTTTTCCCATTCTCTTTGAGAAAAATGAAAACGGAGTGACGACCTTCTGCCTCAAGTACACAATTAAAATTACGGTGAGAAAATTTTCAATTTGATAGCACTGAAACTCTGGCTGAAGATTAGGATCACGCTATCTCACTCATGATGAGATGGGCCATCTAATTTATACAGATTTGGAACTCGCGACGACAAGGTTACGATCATCGAATGAATAAAGACGGCATTCAAGTTAAACGTCATGGCGCGATGTCTGGATTCATGACTACTTAACACGACGAAACGATGCGAGATGTGCGAATATGATGTACTTAGTCATGTATGTAAGGTTATTTATTGCCACTCCTTGAACTTCTCTTGTTGCCTTTCAAGAGGCGTACGTGGTTTACGATGTCTGGCTAAGGGAGTTTTTAAGATGTCTAGATGTCCATTGATCTCCGACACTAATATTTATGTGACACTAGCAGTGTTCGAAACTCACCTTTGAGTTTCAGGAGCCATGTGGCGCATTAAGCTCGATTTTTGGGGGCCGTTGAAGATTTTTCGGGGGTCAGATTGACTTTTTTCCCAAATATCACGGCGCATTTAGCGAAAAGTTAGACGCAAGACGTTTTAGTAACAGAACTAGTGTAACTATAACTTGGAGAGAATTTCGGAAAATCACTAAACAGAAAAATTAGGATTTTTTTTTTTTTTTTTTTTGGGGGGGGCGATTTTTAGGGGCCTCGTTGGCGCAGAGCCCTCATTTTTTAGGCGCCATGACCGATTTCTTAAGCGCATTCGGCGCGTTGGCGCCTGTGAATTTCGAACACTGGACACTAGCCTGCAGCGACTTGTAAGAAAATACACTTTACTTAGGTTCCACCATGTTCTGAACAGGTATGGCTCCTCCTGGGTACATTTCACTCTTATTTAGATGCCTCTTTTCATTACAAAATCCGGGGCTCCCCAGAGGTATTGCTTAAATAGTCCAGAGGATCGGTTAGAAAAACGCTCGATTTCAGACGACTAAACCGTTTGAAATTACATAAACGGAAACGAGACCGTTCTGCAGAGACGGTATAGCAGTAGGAGGCACAGACTATTGAGAATGTGCATACCTGACAGCGATACCATAGAGGTCTCATGTTTCATTTGAACTCTGCTTCAGGAGCTGTAGTCTGGTTGCATTTCTGCAGCTCTTATTGCTGGCTATGTAATGCCAGGAAAAGATCAGCAAAACCACACTGAAAAAAAATTCTCGGCGTTTTTACCAAGGTCCGTTGGTACCTTTACCATCTCACTTTTTTTACCAATTATTGGTAATTTTACCAAGACAGACTTGTAAGCTTACCTAAAAACCGGTATTTTTACTGGTTTTTTTTTTCAGGTGAATACCACTTTTATTGGTAATTAATTCCCGGTAACTTTGCCATTTTATCTTGGTAATTCTACCACAGTCGATGAAAAATATTGGCGTTTTTACCAGGGTATAGTAAAATTACCGAGAAAGATCAGCAAAACCAGCCAACCAAGAGGCTGAATAACTATACTGTTCATGATTCAGATTAAATCGTTTGATTTTCCCGAGAAGCTTAAATCCCTGGGTGGGATACAGTTGTCATATTCGAATGAGTCAAATTGAATGGAAATGACTTAACTTTCAAAACCAACCCCTTTTTCCTAATCCTAATTTTTGTCGACTTAAAAATGAGCAGGAGGAAAAATAATTCTTCAGGATTCCGAAACGACGAAGAGTTTATTTCGAGTGCCAAAGTTTTTTTGAGCGGTTGGATTAGCGGGAAAAACGCGCGACGAGTGGCATTTTCATTTCAGGAACCAGCTGTTTCGAGTCCTGCGGAAGTCAAGATTTCTCCACCGAATTCTCATATCAAATCTGTTATCACTAAAAGAAAAGCTAGAACGCGAAGTGGAGGAAGCAGGGGTTGTTGTTTCAGTATATCATTATTTGCTTTTGAAAATTGCTGTTTGCTTGTTCGACGTAAGTCCCACCGCCGCATCTCTTTAATCGTTTCCAGTCAAACTTTTTCCCGCTTTCCACCGAGATAGAGTCGGGGGATTTTGTGAGAGTCGACAAAAGGACATAACTCGATTTGTACATGACCCCTAGAAAACACGGAGTTACGTGGATGACGGAGCTCATCTCAAAGTGAGAATATGTCCTCGCGTCAGCGGAAAGAGGCGCGGCGGGGGCCCGAAAGAAATACTTTTTAGACTGGAAATCATCGTGGTTGAATTTTTTCAATAAAGAGTGAAGGGTTGTTTAGGCTGGAATCGAAAGATTTTTTTCTATTGGTTGCATAAGCCAATATCCTTTAAGGAGGCAACTGTTTGAAAACTGTAAATATGTTCATTCGACCTCGCTTTGGATATTTTCGGTGTAACGTTCGGCTTTCATAATCGGGTCTTATCCTTTGGTTCTGTTCAGTTTGTACATTTGATTGCATTATCTGAAAGTTCAGTTTGACAAACCGATTTGTTCGAGTGACACGCAAAACATCGTGCTTTCGGTTCGTAAGATCTCATTGATTTTTCAGTGTTGAAAACCACTGTAGGAATCGGTGTGAAAAAAAGGTTTTATGTCGACATTTTAGGAACCTAATTTTTTTACCTCGAGAGAAAATATTCTGACTCATTAAAAGTATTCAAACGCACGGGTTAGGAATGCCTATTTTATTAAGAAAAAGTTGTAAAAAAAATTAAAACAAAAACTGCCATCGGAGTTTTGTCAAATACTAAAAATTATCCATGTTAATGCTAAACACGAAGTAGACTCCAAAATATGCAACATATAGAGGACAAACATTTTGTGTGAAATTCTTGTAATTTGTTCAAAGCTCCTAAAATAAAGTGATAAAGCAGCTTCTAAAAGTTTCATTATCACTTTTTACATTTTATCACGTTTCTTTCACACTTTTTATCACGTTGAAGGAAAACGTTTTATATCAGCCTGTGCTCTCGGTGTTTGCCGCAAGGACTTTCTGCCAACTCTATTTTCATGGAAAATGAAAAATTACCATTTTTTACGGAGCTTTAAACTAATTTGTCTCGATAGTCGATATCAGAATGTCACTGAACTCCTCTATATCTTTGGTCCCCCCATTCCACCTGTCATCGCTCAGACTTGACTTTCACTGCTGATCTCACCATCCATCGCCATATTACACCGATTACAATGCATCTAGATGGTTATCTGCCTACTTTTAATTTTACATATTGTTGACTGGGTGACGGGAGGATATGAGATCTGGAGACTCCGAAAGTTCGGCTCGCTTGCGACTGTGAGGTGACGTCGCGACTGGCGGCTGTGCGCGCGGAGAATGACACGGCACTTGCGGTTTGTGGGTCATGGCGATTAGCGATATTCCAAATGATTGGCCTGTTCGCCCGCTCCAATGTTCGGTGGGTCCTCAAAGTTTCTAATCAAGTGTCGCTGCAACGGCAACAAACGGATACACTGAGAAAAAAAGTTCGGTCATATGAATCGGAGAACGGGGCTTTGTATCGACGGCATTATTCGATTCGGGTGACCGTACTTCTCGATTCTTAATTTGTGCTTCGATTCGTGAAACCGAACCTTCAAACAAAACCGAAGTATGAAAAAAAGTTCGGTTGCATGAACCGAACTGTAAACCTCGGTCACAGGCAGGAGTCGATAAAGTTCTCTACTTCCCACGATTGCCAAAAAGTGCTTCCGCACTAGAGTTGGTGAATTTTTTTTAATGAAAGGTGATAAGCACGGCTTAATCAACGCTAATTATACAATTTCTCTGCCGGACGTTGCACCAAAAAAAAAAAGAAAAAAATCCGAGGGCTTTGCGCAATTTTGGCGCGAGCCAACTCGCGTGATCAGCAATATTATCGACCCTTGGTTACAGGGACTGATATTCGGTTCATATTCATCAATGAAGACTTTTCATTCAGTAACCATAGTTTTCGGTCACAGGAACCAAATTTCGGTTAATTTAACCGAAGTTCGGTTGCTGTCCCCGAAAACTAAGGATACCTAGACCGAGAGTTTGGGCTCAATAGAAACTGAACTTGTTTTCTCCGTTTATAAAGAGCTCAGTTGCAAGAACTTTGGATTCACACAAGCATGGTGACAAGAACCGAATAGCACGACCGATGATGAACACCGAAAAAAGAGCGGTTCTACTCCGTGCTCATATCACTCCGGATTCACTCCGGAATGAAAGCCATGGAAAAGCATCGACAGAGGGAAACATTCTGCTGAAAAACTTACCGTTCTGATAAGGCCCGGGCTGGCAGATTTCTTGAATGACCATACTGGTTCCAGCATACAGTTGATAGAAATGAGCTCTCTGATTCGGGGCCATGCAGCGTCTAGTGTAGTTATCGATACACATCAATCCATCATTAAGATCTCTGAAACAAAAAATTACGATTTAAAAAATCTATTTGAATCTCATACATAATATAAAAATTCATAAAGGACAAAATCACTACGTTCGACTTTTTACTATATTTTTGTGGGGTGATTATAGAAGTTTTTAACATGTATGACATGTTTAGCGCGGAATTTAATGGGGGAAACATCTTTCTTGGTACTTTAATGACAACCCTATCATGTAGTCTTTTGATCTTATAACCGGCTAAAATTCTGTATTTAATATTATTGTTTCCAGAGGAAAAAATTGATTCTGTGTCAGTGTGAAGACTGACTAAAAACTAGTCGCGGGCACGTGTGTCATTTTTTGTATACGATCAACGCTCGGAGAATTCTTCAGTGCGACCGGTGCACATTGGGACGAGCCCATTACAGAAACGGGACATTCACGGTAAAAATGAAAATCATTAAAAGCAAGAACCAAAGGTGTAGAAGTTACCTGGAGGGTCTAAACCTCCAGAATAACGAAGATTTTAACAATTTAATTGAGGAATATTCAAATGACAGCCGTAGAGAAACGCGTGTTTCGGTAAGATGAAAAAAAGAGGCAAAAGCGCACGTATACAAATTTTGCTCCTCTAGCTTCCGAGATTATTTTAAATGCAATTTTTTGTTTTAACAATTGAAAACAAACATAGACTATTCGTTTACGTCTTTGGTGATGATTACTTTTTACTTCCTGGGGGTCACAGAGTGAATTCAAAATCGACCAGTCAAAAAACTAAAATTCAAACTTCAATTAGAGTTTTAAAAAAATGTCCAGACTTGTCCAAGAAACGGTTTGCAAATCGAGATTCTACGTATCCTTAGCTTTCAGAATCATATTAGTTTTCATCCGACTTCTTCCGACTTTGGAAGTTACGAGGGAAAACATGAGCGCGGTTTGCTTAAAATCGAGCGCTTTCACAGGCCAATTGACGGTTGAGGTTGAGTGCAACGGGCTATGTTGCTGGCCACCGCGCCGCGCCGCCGCCGCGTTGCTTATCAGCTTGCTGCGATGCTCATCTGATATCTAGGATACGGATCAATATCGTCTTTTTTTGTAGACCGATTTTTTATTTTTAATTTGTAGAGCAATCAACAACAAGAATTGGATGATGTCGTGATGGAAACGGTGCTTAGAATCGAGGCTGACATTAAAAATTTAATTTTAACCAAAGTAGACGGTTTGACAGTGTCCCATGATTTGTATTCCACCATGTTTGATGGGAAAATTTGCAATATATTAAGTGGCAATAAATCCTCATTCTTATGAACGATATTTCAGAAGTGCAGAAAAGACCCCTAAGAAGCTCGGAGTTTCTGAAGTATGGAATTTTGCCTTGGCATCTCAAGATTGAAACTTTTGAGTGTCTGTTGCATATTTCGTATAATCAGGATTTCAGAAAGTGACGCTCAAAAACGGAAGAAGAAAAGTCCTTGAAAAAAGAAAACGGGGAAAAAACAGCATCTGTGTCAAAGAATGATAATATTTGGGAGCAACTTATTCGTTTATGATTTTCGGATTCACTTTAATGTCTGCCCATTGATGAACTCATTCCCCTATAGTCAAATATCGCTGCGGTTTTTGCGATAGGTAAGAAGATAGTGGGGGGGGGGTGTTCATTCTTAATAGAAGCATTTCTCAATTTCAGGATCAGTGAATTCATTTTCTTTTTCAATGAAAAAAAGCAAACGACACGCGCGTTAAATCTCTACCATAATCATGCTAATCTGTTTATCAAATAGATTAAAACAGAGACTTGGCAACACAATTTTTTGGCGGGATTGTCACAATGAACCAAATTCTGAACATAACATTGGATTCCTTTTCCCGCAAAGACTGAAAATGTCAAGTTTTGAGAAGATCGGCGAAAAATTATCGTCTGATGTGCGAATGTCCCGTTTTAACACCTTTTCGTCCCACTGTGCGGTGGCGTGGCGTGCTTTGCGATACATCGATTGATCTGTCATTTAAACCTATGAAAAAGATCGATTATTAAGGCGTTCGCAACGAACATCTTAATAATCGATTCTATACCACAGTTGTAAATGGGGAAATATCGGTAATCGATCATTCACGTCTCGCCACTGAGCACGACAGAGATGATTAATTAAGGAATATGGGCGTTTGTTGATTGCACTAGTTGATCAATTGACAGCTTCCATGGCGAGTAAGCAACGAGCCTTATGTAATTAGACGCTGATTTTTGCATAAGCGTTGAACAAGACCTAGACTATGGGAGTCAAACTGGACACTTGTGAGATAAGTAACATGGGCACTGCGCTGAAACGATGGACGATGCAAGGCCTTGAATTCAGCCCCTTCATTAACTGACTTGAAACACCAGCGTCTACTGCGTAGCGTTGTCGCTACCGCAAACGCTCGCCAAAAACACACTGGTTGCATAAAACGAAGGCAGGTAGACCCGAGGGTAGATAACCATTTTTGCACAATACTATACCTTCAAATACTGAGGCTGCATAACTTCCTTACGCTTGGTAAAAGCCCGATCAAAACATACATCGACGGTAAAACTACCAGACCTCGTACCTCGTTTGCGGTGTTTAAAAATCTTCGCTTCTATTTTATTTTTTTGAAGGAGAGCGAATGAATATCATTCCTTACATTTTTCCTGGAGTTTGCATGTTTACGCTGTTTGACGCGCCTTCGACGTGCTCGTGCACATAACGGTATAAAGAATGACGAATTTGGAAAGAAACGCTCGAACTATTTACAGGAGCCGTGATACAACTATTTCACCTCTCGAGTGGCCCATATTGCATACTTGTCGAAATTGAAGGGGGAACGAATTTGGTGCACCGCGGAGTGAATCAATGACAGAAGTCGGACAAGTCAGAAAAACTTTAAAACCTAATGTTTGCACGAATACAAAATGTAGAGGTTCAAACACGGTCCCATTGGTTTTCTTGTAAAAATTTGCTTCTAGAAGCATTCAATAAATCAATAATTTGTTGAGGTAAACATCAAAATTTGCAGTTATAGTCAAAAAGTTCATGTCTGACTTTTTCCGAAAGCTTCAATACTTGACGCCCCAATTTTTCCTTTTACACGCAATCCTTTAATGACAAATTACGCTCGGAAACTAGAGCTTTGCTCGAAAGAATGAAGATTTTAATTTTTTAAAAACATCAATTAGCACATTCATGTGTTATTTATATATGTCCTAGAAGACCCTGTAGATGAGTTGACTTGAAGCGATTAGTTACTTCCTTAAAATTTAAGCATCACTGTAGCATAAATTATCATTTTATCCTCGTCGAAGAGTAAAATGCATGCAGAACAAGCCTCGTATCAGTGGCGCCGCACCAAGTGCGTAGTTTTCCGGGGAAATCTCAATGAAACGTGGAAGTAATTACAGGATAGGTAAAAAATTGCGATAAATTCTGCTGACATAATCTTCTGGAATAGTTTGAACTAGATAGATGAAAGATGAGTGTGTGCCGAGTTCCGATATGATAGCATAAGTCGAGAACGTAACGGAACTGACGGAAAAATCGATTCCTTCCATAATCTCTCTAAGATTAAGTGCTGTGGTTATGGCGTATCATCTTCAACGCTGCATTTACTATGACTAAAGAAGTTCCTCTCAATCAAGTGACGACAACTTCACAGGAAATCATTGACCTACTCAAAATGTTCGATGCGCCTTGAGATGGAGAGAGAAACGTAGTGCGAAAACGAAGAAAGGTAGAATGTAGTCCACTTGAAAAGTAAACAACTCACAAACATGACTGTTCTGTGATTAAAACCAGGTAATTGCATTGCGATTCAAATTAGAAAATTAGACGGAATAATGGTGGGTGATTTTCCGAATGGATACGAAATCCGGTTGGGCAGTTTGATGAAAGCATAAACATTTGAGGAAAGCAAATAGCCGGACTTTACTGTTGCGTTTGGTTACAGCCAAGCAAGAAAAAAACTCCGTGCGAGCATTTAAATGGTGCCTTTTTTTCGATAAAATAATTATTTTAAAAACAATTTAAAAGAAGAAACAAAATCCAAGATCAGGCGCTGTTAGGTTACGTGTGATTGTCTAACGATCGCTCATAGCAACTCCAAAGCGAATTCGAACGGTCAAGTGACCTTGATATATGACTCAAAAAACAAACGCTCAAACCGTCAAAAATTTTAAAGTGTCCGAACTTGGACTTTATATTTACTTTTGAATGCAAGCCTAACTCATGTCTCCTTCCCAAAGTTACCACCTAAAAATGTTTACCCTTTCCATGAAAAGAGTTAGTTTTCTCTAACTCCATGGAAATGCTGATTGATTCAAGCTTAACATCAGAGAACAAATTATTTAAAAAAATATATTATCATGCGAGTCGCTGAACGCTTAAAATAAAAGTTTATATAATAAAAAATTCCTTGAGATTGATAACCCTTGACATTTCCTCTCCTCTTCAACGATCGGAAATTAGTTTGAACAGAATAGGAGCTTATATGTATGTGTGCAAAATATAGGCTATTGACAAGTAAACAAACATACGCAATCTACTTACGGACAAATTAAATCCAGATCCTCTTTATTCGTGGCGAAGCCTAGTTCTTTATTTTCGGCCAAAACTTTGAGAGGATACCGACATTTGGTCAGCATTTCTTCGCCGCATTCTCCCACCGACGGAGCCCAAGTTACTGCACTTTTGACGCTCACGAAAGCTGAAACAAAAAAAATACGAGAAAAGTCAGTAAACATTAAAGTTTTCCAGAGGTAAACCGCAAAGCAGCCGAAGGGCAAACATACCCTCATTACGTCTCAGAGAAAATGAATTTTTGAGACTCCACACTGCTGTCCTCCCTATGATGTTTAATAAGTTACTTCCGAAAGTCAATGTTCAGTTTCGCATAATGATGACTGATGACCGAAGAGTTGATCAGGTGAATCAACAATCCTAACCTGATTTGAAAAACACTCACCGAGCAATGTGCATTCATCAGGCATCATAAAGCGAATTTTATTTGATTTTTTTCCTAACAATTTGCTCATCAGAAAACATTAGGCGAAAAATAGCGTTGGCCTCCCAATTTAACTTTTGCCTCACTCTACTTGTATTATTAGGGCGCGGTCTCTAAAATATATTGTCTCTGGTAACTCTGCACCTTTTATTGAGTACCATGCATAGCGCGCGATGATTTTTCAAGTGAGGAGGTGATCGAAACTCGACTGGTTGCAAATTTTGGCTTGAAAACTACAGTTAATGTCCATCGCAATTGTTCAATGCTACCGAGTCTGGTGTTTATTACCATACTCGTATCACTGGGTCAGAGTATGGTAAAATCTACCATGTTTTTTTTTTAGCGTGGGTTCAGTATCGAAATCCATTTTCTGGACACCCTGTATAAACACCAACGAATAATGGAATCATCTCGGCAACCACGGCTGTAATCGCGGGTTTGGATAATCCGAGGATTAGCGCGATAGAGATTTGAGTAGCTGAAAAGTTGCGTGGCATCATTCGCGCGGCTGTAGCGGAACTTTATGGAGTAGTTTCGAGCTTTTGACATTGAAAACTCGCACGATAGGCGCGTCGGCCTGGTCGCTAGACTACTCTAGACGACGCCTCACCTCATGATAGCCTCAGTTTCCGGTATTTCGAATAATATTTGAAGTATATGCATGCGAGCGCCTCTATGAACTTTCCAAAACAAGTTTTTCAGCATATTTGTCTCCGCGGAGTCAAAGCTCTCCCAGCTGAGTTGAAATGAAAAGGATACAGCGAGAAGCAACATTTTTGGCATTGGACTGTGTTCTACTAGTGATTCTCCCTAATTTTCCTTGTATTTCCAGCTAGATACACTGAGAAAAAAATCTTACCAAAACCGCTTTGAGGTCAGAGTACGGAGTCTAAAGCCCAATTCACACTATCAAACTTTTCATTAAACTCTGATACTGACACTAGAAAACAACAATTTTATGAAAAATTGAACGAGAACTAGAATGTGACGTCACATTCAACTTTCTATCCAATCGGCGCCACCAATTGGATGGAAAGTTGAACTGAGAGTAATTGAGTCGATTTTTTTTGCGTTCAACTTTCCATCCAACTTTTCGTCCGATTATGTCGGATGAAAAGTTTGATGGTGTGAATTGGGCTTTAAGGGCCGGATCTACCTCCACTGGTCATATTTAACCTTTTGTGTTTGTAAAATTTTAAACGCCATTTTTGGGGATTATAGGGTTTGTTTGATACTTTCCATTTCTCCGGATTACATTGCGTTCCCAAATTTGGTGAACATTTTGGGCAAGCCTGAATAATAGTTGGAGAGAATTATTTTTGTTGGAAAATATCGATCTTTTTAAAACGAGAAACTTACGTAAGACTGGCCTCAGCCCCCCCCCCTGCCCCTTTGTTGGACCCCGTAAAGCAAGCTCAGCCCCCCCTTAAGTAGCTTATGTAATACTTGAATGACCCCTGGTTTAGGGTTCCAATTCACGCTGGGAAAGTCAAACCCTTGGGAAAAATCCGGTTATCTATGTCGTCTGTCACAGGAACAATTTATTTCCTAATGAAAAATGCATATTAAAACATCCTCGTGTTGCCCACTCTAGTTTCCCGGCTCCTCGGGCGGGGAAACCAGATTTTCCACATTTTTCAAGGATATTCGGGGAACGGGAAACCCTCGCCTGTCGTAGGTGCTTGAACTGCTCATATGCATTAGCAATGTCGTGGTTTGCTTTGTGATATATCGATTGATCTGCCACTTGGGCCTATGGTGAAGGCTCGATAGACGAGGTGTCCGCGACAAACACCTCAATAATCGATTATTTACCATAGCTTCAAATGGGAAAATATCGACAATCGATTATTCACGCATCGCCACTGTGCATTAGCGCTGATGTCAGCATCTAAATTGTTGGAACGTAATCGAATTAATCGATTTTATCGATTATTAATCGATAGATAATATTGTTAAGATAGGAATCTGTCGAGCACGTTCACTCGATAGCGATTCAAAAATCGACCCGAAGACATCTCGCGTCCTCATCAAAAGGCGGATGGGAAAAGTCCGCACGTCACCAGTCCTTACGTTATACGGGGTGAAGCTGATTGTGAATGAGATCAATAAACGGAAGAGCGAAATGATGGCTCGTATTGCGAAAGAATCCGGGACAGAAGATGCGAGCTTTTGTAAATAAATTTGATCGTTTTATACACATAATATTAAGAATCCGGTTTCTTGATTCTAATCCTCTTTCATAATTTGCCCGTCACTTCTCTTTGATGCATTGAGCGGTTCGCTTCCAACTTCCACCTTCGTGACTAGCATGGCCCGACAAGAAAACCCGCGCTGTTCATTGGCGGATCCAGCAAATTGGCAACATTGGTTTTCCCCCATTTAAACCTATGGAAATGTATCGATTCTTGTAGGGGCCAGGTGCTCCGACAAGAATCGATTGTTTAACATAGGTTTATATGGAGGAAATCCAGTGTTGCCAAATTTCTGGAGCCGCCTCTGGCGCTGTTCCACTCAAACACTTGAAAGTATCCAACATTTTTCCGCAGTTTTACTCTTCTCGAATCACATGGAAATAAAGTTAGGGAGGAAAGCTTGAAAATTAGTCGATTTTGTAAGCAGTTAAAAAGAGAGATAAATGGACTACATTTTGGAATTGGGAACTTTAAATTCTATCCCGGTTTAAAAACGACGTATGTGCCATTAGTCTCCCTGTGCACATTAGTGTTTTTCCATAAGAGCCAGAATTTATAGTTCCAAATTGCAAAATGCAGTCTGAATTTCAATGATATTGACGGATCCAGAAAGTTGGGAGCTTTATCTTCTTTGCATTGAAACTACTTATGAAAAAGAATAGATTCTTTAAAGGGCCAAGAGCTCCGATAAAAATCGATTATTCAACACAGGTTTAAATAAAGAAAAGCCAAAAATTTCCACCCTACAGCATCCACCTCTACATGAAAAGGTGATGGTGACAGCAGTTAGGTGACACATCGCTCTTTTAAAAAGTCGTCATACGTTAGATTTAACTCCTTTTTTCTTGCCCTCATATATCGTTCGACGAGGGAATCAAACCGTTGACTTAAATTGCACGCCGAGATCGAAGAATCGCTTAAATTAATTTAGCAGACGAGTAGCGATTAAATCAACGCGTCCCTTCACAGTTCACGGTCAGACTGATTTTTTTCTTATAGACAACCCACCATCACTGTCTATATTTCTTCATTGCTGCCGGATTGCAGGGGTGATTGACACTTGGATTATTCAGCTCTAACTGAATGCTCTTCTTCATACATTTTAACTGTATTTGAGTGTTCATACCTACGCGTCAATATACTGTGACTTCCTTCCCCTGAATTCTTTCGAAAAAAGAGCGAAAGCTCCTTAGGAAGGTTGTGGTTGCGTTGGAAGGATGTGTATTTCGTGAAATTTTAAAGTTTGAGGGTGCTTTTCAAAGTTACGTTAACGAGAAAACCAATGGGGCCACTTTTAAGACCTCCGCGTTTTGTGATAATGGAATTACGAGCTTTCAAAGTTTTTAAATATTGTACAATTTCTCCGATTGATTCGTTCCATCGTGCGGCGGCGATCTTTCTTTTTGAAGTCCAAGGAAAGCTATGAACGGGACTATTCCTGAGACATCAACGACGTAATTTTTCTCAGTGCAGCAGGAATTTAAGAACGGGAAAGTCAAAAGTTCCAACTTATTTGTGGCGATGGTCCTAAAGAACTTTACCCTCACGCTCGATACGAAATCGCGTTCAAAAAAATTTACAATAAAACACAGACTGAATCCAGAGCTAACAATATTCCCGCAGAATTTTGGCGACCATGAACTTGACCCGTCTCTTTATCGGCGGCGGGCGGCGCGGCGCGTCAATGGAGCGAGCTTTTTCGCGGGTGTAAAGTTCGTTACGCGCCGATCAAGAGCGTAAACAACTCCTGCTGCGCTCGACAACCTCATTCCTCGAGATTGAGAATCCCGCGCGATCCTAAGTCCACCCACCTTGGCTGTATCATTGAAAAATCCGCGTCAGTGCGTGAGCAAAGTTCCCCTGAGTAATCAACACACGATGGGCAGAGGAAAATTCCTCCTATGGCGATGAGGAATGAATCATTTATAGAAGCTGTTCCTTGCTCAATCCATGGTGAATTTCCGTTTGGGTTGATACAAAAACAGTCTCCTGTCACGGATTCTTACCAAGGAGATCTGTTTGACTTGTTGCGCCGAAAAAAAAACTCCGGTCGTAGAAGCCGTACTTACGGGCTGTATAGACGTACCGTCCGCACTTCGGCCTCCGCCGAAAGTTCCGGCTTCTGAACCCGAAACAGTCGAGATTCCGGCTTTTAGCATCCGGAATTATTGGCCGCAAAGCCCATAGAACGGACGGTATGTCTATATAGCCCGTAACTCCTTTTTCGGTGTGCTTTTTCTTTCGATTTTACCTACTCGCGGAGCGTGAATGATCGAGTAGGTATCGATATTTTTCCCATTTAAAGCTATCGTAAAGAATCGGTTATATGGGTGTTCGTTAGGGTGTAGCGCAAAAAACTTTCTTCGCGCATGACATTCGCTACCCCTGGAAAGTATGTGGTTGATGCACAAAAGAGCCCACAAAAATTCCAGCCGCCCACGATTATTGTAACCACTGCCACTTTTCGGTCAAAATTTTGGTTGGGTCACGCAACTAAACTAACCTCCC